ATATATGAGCCTGTCAACTTGGATCACTTCTGTCTGCCTTTCTTGGCTTCTTGTTTTTTTTCTGAGGACTGTGCATTTCACTTCTTGCTCCAAAGTAGTTATGCTCTCATTGAACATGTGCTGTTCTGTTGGGCTTTCTTCTGCAATATCACAGAGTTTAAAATTAGAAGAGTCAAAGGATGCTGCAACTGTATTTAGATGTGTGATAAATTCACACTTTTTTACTAGTTTTGTGTTAATTCAGGACAATAAATTACCTATCGTAAGTCGTTTTTTTATTTGTGATTTTTAGTGTTCTGAGAGACTGAAACTTTTTAAAATTTCTTAGATTGGGGGGCTTGCTCTGTTATTTTGGAGGGGGGCGTAAGATCTCCCTATAAACATGCAATTTGGAAGTAAATTCTGGATAGATGGAAATGATGAGATTTGAGGTTGAAATTTTGATTGGTTAAACTTTTTTGGAATTACGTTTTTAACTGCAAGTCATATATCCTTGTATGACATGTCAAAAATGGGCAAGAAAAATTAAGCGGTGAAGTAAAATGGCTGACACATTTCCACATGGGACTTTATGGAATGATGGATGGAAGAAAGATGCTGATCATCTGTCCTAGACCTATCATTACAGATGAGGTGAAGGCAGCAGCATTCTCTCCCTTCATAGTTATTAAAGATGAGGAAAAGGCTGAGGTATTTAACACCTTCTTTACCTCAGTCTTCAACGGTAGGACAGGTCTCTCTGAGGACAGCTGGCTTCTGGAGCATGTAGATAGGAATATGAAGCTGAATAGTCCCCCCGTAATCAAGGAGGAAACAATCAGCGACCTTCTGAGCCACTTGGATCCTCACAAGTCTATGGGACCAGATGGGATCCACCCAAGGGTGATGAGGGAGCTGGCGGAAGAGCTCGCCAAGCCGCTCTCCATCATTTCCCAACAGTCCTGGCTCACTGGGGAGGTCCCAGATGATTGGAAGTTGGCAAATGTCACACCAATCCACAAAAAGGGCCGGAAGGAGGACCCAGGAAACTACAGACCTGTCAGTCTGACCTCAGTGCCTGGCAAGGTTATGGAGCAGATCATCCTCAGTGCAATCACACAGCACCTACAGGATGGACAAGGGATCAGACCCAGCCAGCACGGGTTTAGGAAGGGCAGGTCCTGTCTGACCAACCTGATCTCCTTCTACGATCAGGTGACCCGCCTGGTGGATGAGGGGAAGGCTGTGGATGTGGTCTATCTGGACTTCAGCAAAGCCTTTGACACTGTCTCCCATAATATACTCCTGAAAAAACTGGCAGCCCATGGCTTGGACAGGGACACTGTGCTGGGTTAGGAACTGGCTGGAGGGCTGGGCCCAGAGAGTGCTGGTGAACGGGGCTGCATCCAGCTGGCGACTGGTCACCAGTGGTGTCCCCCAGGGATCAGTGTTGGGCCCAGTTCTGTTTAATATCTTTATCGATGATTTAGATGAGGGGATTGAGTCCATCATTAGCAAAATCGCAGACGACACCAAGTTGGGAGGGAGTGTCAACCTCTTGGAAGGCCACAACAACCCCCTGCAGTGCTACAGGCTGGGAACAGAGTGGCTGGAGAGCAGCCAGGCAGAAAGGGACCTGGGAGTGCTGATTGACAGGAGGCTGAACATGAGCCAGCAGTGTGCCCAGGTGGCCAAGAAGGCTAATGGCATCCTGGCCTGTATCAGGAACAGTGTGGCCAGCAGGACCAGGGAAGTGATTCTGCCCCTGTACTCAGCGCTGGTGAGGCCTCACCTGGAGTACTGTGTCTAGTTCTGGGCCCCTCAGTTCAGGAAAGATGTTGAGGTGCTGGAGCAGGTGCAGAGAAGGGCAACGAGGCTGGTGAAGGGACTTGAACACAAGTCCTATGAGGAGAGGCTGAGGGAGCTGGGGTTGTTTAGCCTTGAGAAGAGAAGGCTCAGGGGAGACCTCATCGCTCTCTACAACTACCTGAGAGGAGGTTGTAGGCAGGTGGGGGTTGGTCTCTTCTCCCAGGCAACCAGCAGTAGGACAAGAGGGCATGACCTTAAGCTGTGCCAGGGGAGGTTTAGGTTAGATATTAGAAAGAAATTCTTTACAGAGGGGGTAATCAGCCATTGGAATGGGCTGCCCAGGGAAGTGGTGGATTCTCCGTCCCTGGAGGTTTTTAAGATGAGGCTGGACGTGGCACTTAGTGCCATGGTCTAGCAACTGTGGTGGTAGTGGATCAAGGGTTGGACTTGATGATCTCAGAGGTCCTTTCCAACCCGTCTGATTCTATGATTCTATGATTCAACCTCACTTTCTCCTTTGCCCTCACGAGATCCTGATATGTATTTCAGCATCTGCCTGGCAAAGCAGTGATAGCAGATAGAACTAAACTTCCATAAGCAATTGCTTCTGCTCTTCTTTTTTCCATCTCTTGGCAAAATGGGACAGTTTTTCTGAGATGCAAAAAAGAGTGTGTTTTGTGGTAAAAATAGGAATTCCACAGTTTCCTTCACTTGATGTCTGTTAGTCATAAAACAATAACTTTGCTTTTATCATAACCAGGTAATTCTTCTCCAGTATGTGTTTGTTGGAAGCGAGGTAGGATTTAGGCAGCTGCACAGGGGAGTTAGCAAGCATGGTGGCATCAGCTCAGGACTTTTCAAATCCAATCACATACAGAAGATCTGCACAAGTTAGGGAGCACCTGCTATCTAGTTTCTTCTAGCACTCTAAAGAAAACTGCTTCTTTGCCACACCAGAATTTTCCATCTCTGTATTCAGTGTTTGGCTTGATACTAGCTGCTCCCCTGACTTTCTTCCTTTTGTCCATACTAAGTAAAACAATAAAGGAGTTTGAGATGTACCCTTCACTATAAGACTCATTCAAGCCCAATGACCATCTTCTCTCAGAAACCATATGTTCTTCCAAGTGAGTTAGACTATGAAAACAAAGTTTCTGCATTAATGTGACTTTGAAATGTCTTTCCTTTTTCTGTGGCATTCTCAGTGTGAGAGCCATGTGAATGTGGAAGTTGAAGATGAGTGCTGCTGCACAGATCTGAAGTAATTTTGCCCAGAGTTAATTTGTGAAATGCTTTCATTGAAGCACTTGGACTCTCTCCAGAGATTCTTTTGCATCAGCAGCACGCCAACATCTGTCTCATCCACAGACACAGACTTCTGCTAAACCTTTTCAGGTTTGAGGATCTCTGCAACTCCCACCCCCAGCTATGTTTGTTGTATAAGTAAGGGAGGAAGAGCCATGAGATTACAAGCATACATATCTCTTAAAAGGTTTGCAAAGAATATTTCACCTTGTAGGGGGAGAAGTGTAAGAAGGCTGGGTAAATAAGAAGCTCTTTGCTCTTGGGTGTGACAACACATTAAGTCCCTGGCAACTGCTGTGTACCCAAAACCTGAAAAGTGCTGTTTTATTACATCCTTATTTAAAGGAAGTAAATGTCTTATGTTTACTAGATACAAAATGTGACAAGTATTAAAATTTCCAGAACCATTCTTTCACAAAGAGGATTGGTAGAATTGCAAGAAGTAACTTTATAAAGATTCTGACATTATGCTGCTGAGATGTAGAATAGTTAGCAGTGATGTTACATCCCTGCAGTATTTGCTTTGAGGGAGGTGGGTCCCTGCTGAATCTGTTACTCCTGGAAAAGCTGGCAGCCCATGGCTTGGACAGGGGCACTCTGTGCTGGGTCAGGAACTGGCTCAAGGGCCGGGCCCAGAGAGTGCTGGTGAACGGTGCTGCATCCAGTTGGCGGCCGGTCACCAGTGGTGTTCCCCAGGGGTCAGTGCTGGGCCCAGTCCTTTTTAACATCTTTATCGATGATTTAGATGAGGGGATTGAGTCCATCATCAGCAAATTTGCAGATGACACCAAGTTAGGAGGGAGTGTCGACCTGCCGGAAGGCAGGAGGGCTCTGCAGAGGGATCTGGATAGACTGGAGAGATGGGCTGACTCCAATGGAATGAAGTTCAACAAGACCAAGTGCCGGGTCCTGCACTTTGGCCACAACAACCCCCTGCAGCGCTACAGGCTGGGGACAGAGTGGCTGGAGAGCAGCCAGGCGGAGAGGGACCTGGGGGTGCTGATCGACAGGAGACTGAACATGAGCCAGCAGTGTGCCCAGGTGGCCAAGAAGGCCAATGGCATCCTGACCTGCATCAAGAACAGTGTGGCCAGCAGGAGCAGGGAAGTGATCCTTCCCCTGTACTCTGCATTGGTGAGGCCACACCTTGAGTATTGTGTTCAGCTCTGGGCCCCTCAGTTCAGGAGGGATATTGAGGTGCTGGAGCAGGTCCAGAGAAGAGCAACGAGGCTGGTGAAGGGACTGGAGCACAGGTCCTATGAGGAGAGGCTGAGGGAGCTGGGGTTGTTCAGTCTGGAGAAGAGAAGGCTTAGAGGCGACCTCATCACTCTCTTCAACTACCTGAATGGAGGTTATACCCAGGTGGAGGTTGGTCTGTTCTCCCAGGCAACCAACAATAGGACAAGGGGACATGGGCTCAAGCTCTGCCAGGGGAGGTTTAGGTTAGATGTTAGGAAGAAATTCTTTACAGAGAGGGTTATCAGGCATTGGAACGGCCTACCCAGAGAGGTGGTGGATTCACCATCCCTAGAGGTTTTTAAAAAGAGATTGGACGTGGCCCTTAGTGCCATGATATAGTAATTGGAGTTGGATCAGGGGTTGGACTTGATGATCTTGGAGGTCTTTTCCAACCCAATCTATTCTATGATTCTATGTTGAATGAAGAAATGCACTTTATCCACTTTGACTGCTTTTGCATGTGTATAAATAAGACCATACTTCATTAACCCTGTTTCCTACCTGTCAACTAAAATCAGGTAAATCTGTTACCAAGACAGTTTGCTGTTTCTATTGGTTTTATAGTCCCTGAAAAGTGCTAGTTAGTTCATGTTTGTATACTAACCTGACTGTGCATAGTACTTTCTAAGTGGCACAGTATTCTTACTGTCCTACCACATCTTTTGCAGATTAATCCTTTTGCCATGGAAACCGAAGAAATGATGGAATGTATCCAGGAATTCCCCGAACACTATAAAGTTATTTTGGATAGACTAAATGAACAACGTGAGCAGGATCAGTTTACAGATATCACTCTGATTGTTGATGGTATGTATATGCCTGAGAACCAGTTGGTATCCAGAGAATTCTGAAAGCTGTGCTGGGAAGCTGTTGGGTTTGTCACAGGTCAGCTGTCAAACTTGCCTGCTTACAAATTCTTGGCTCTGTATTGGTGTGTGAATTGTTTGCAGAGTTTCATTTATTAATCTTGGGCTGAACAGTTTCCAGCAGTGATTAATAATTTTGCTTCTGCTTTTCATATAATCCTAGAATGGTTTGGATTGGAAGGGACCTTAAAGCTCATCTTATTCTACCCTCTGACATGGGCAGGGACACCTTCCACTAGACCAGGTTGCTCCAAGCCCCATCCAACCTGGCTTTGAACACTTCCAGGGATGGGGCAGCCACAGCTTCTCTGGGCAACCTGTGCCAGTGCCTTACCACCCTCACAGGGAAGAATTTCTTTATAATATCTAATCTAAATCTCCCCTCTTTGAGTTTAAAACCACTCCCCCTTGTCCTATCACTATCTGCCCATGTAAAAAGTCACTCTCTTTTTTATAGACCTCCTTTAGCCACTGGAAGGTGCTCTAAGGTGTCCCTAGTGCCCTCTCTTCTCCAGGCTAAATAGCCCCAGCTCTCTCTCAGCCTGCCTTCATAGGAGAGGTGCTGCAGCCCTCTGATCATCTCTGGCCTCCTCTGGACCTGCTATAACAGATCCACATCTTTCCTATGCTGAGGACTCCAGACCTGGATGCAGTGCTCCAGGTGGGGTTTCATGAGAGCGGAGTAGAGGTGGAAAATAGGGAGCCCCTTCCAAACAAGGGGCTAAATATTTTCAGATAGAAACCCACTTTGAAACGGCTGTGCTATATTTAATGTGTTGTCTAAGGATTTCCAAAACATTGTAAAAATATCTTTCCCTAACTTGAACTGATTGTTTGCATGCAGAGAACTTGTACAAATATTGGTTGATTATTTAAAAAAAAAAAGGAAAAACATCTTGAAATAAGACTGCCTTCTTGCTTCTCTGGTATCTGCCTACTATTTTAATATATAGTTTAAATAAGGTAGAACAACTCACTTTTTCTATGAATTCTAAAGACATAAGTATTAGTGTAAAAGGAAGATGGAGATATAAATACTTATTATTTCATTAGAAAAGGTGGTGTCTAATAGAACACCTAAGATTGCTTCTTATCCCAAACATGTCTTAGAATGAATGAGCACTTCAAGGAAGATAGGCAGTGTCCACTAGGACAGACCTAGCTAAAGGAGTACCACCTGATCCTTAAAAGGATAGCAAGAACTTATTTGAAAGAAAAGGGTCCTACAGAGCCTGGATTAGAAAAAAGTAAGCAAATGAAGAAAACGTTACTCTTTAGAATCACTGTAGTTTCACTGACAACGCTTGCACAAAACTTATCCTGAATGTTTGTTCCTGCTCTAGTATTACAAAATCCACATATGGAGCTCAAAACTGTTTTCTTGTGCAGCTGTGTAGTTCTAATCCATGTTGCTTCTTTTACCTCTGTCCCATGGAGCCTTCTGAGTGTTTATGCCCACACCAGGGAGAAGGCAACACAGTGATGAGGAATACACAGTCTAGAAAACAGGAAGAACACAGCAGAACTACTTTGTTCTGCAGGGATCTTTATGCTGGCAGAAGTGATGATTAAATACATCCATATGTAAGAGCAGCAAAAACTAAGGAGAGCTTGGATAAAACCTGAGAGCTGAGCCAAAGACATATGGGAAAAAGTTTCAACAGGAATTTCCCACAACTTAAATATCTGAAAAGAGAAAGACTTGAGTGAGTCCTTCAGCTGATTGAATTGCAGAGCTTCAACAAGGTCAGTGATGTCAGCAAGGATCTGCATAAGATGGGACAGGCTATCCGCAGCGGTATCTCATGTTACAAGGAGACATACTAAGTGACTATGTGCTGCTGGAATAGATTTGTAGACTGGGTGATTCTGCAGCTGTTCTCTTCTCTGCATCTGTACTTATTCTGCACTATGAGTAAGGAAGGTGTTATCCTAAACCAAATTTTTTGTCTGTCTTTGTAGGTCACCATTTCAAAGCTCATAAGGCTGTTCTTGCTGCCTGTAGCCAGTTCTTCTACAAATTCTTCCAAGATTTCACTCAGGAGCCCTTGGTGGAAATTGAAGGTAGTCTGATTCATGCAAATAAAAACCTTCAGAGTTGTGTGCCCAAGCTCAAAATGAATGTAGTATTCCTGGTATGGGCTTCAATGCATGCTTGATCATATCAATTAGCTCTCTAAATATCAGCTCTTGAGTTGTTTTGGGGTAGTGTTGTGGTTTAACCCTGGCTGGCAACTAAGCACCATAGAGCCAGGTTTGCTCATTTTCCACCAGTGGAATGGGGGGGAAGAATCAGAAGGGTAAAAGTGAGAAAGTAACTTGTGGGTTGAGATAAAACCAGTTTCATAATTACAAAGAAATAATAACTTTGTAAACATTATAAGTAAAAGAGAAAAGAGAGAGGAAAAAAAACTAAGGAAGACAAGTGATGCAAATGAAAACAGTTGCTTGCTACCAACTGACCGATGCCCAGCCAAGTCCCCTAGTAGCGGCCCCTCCACCTGCCCCCCCCCCCAGCTTTATATGCTGAACATGATGCCGTATGGTCTGGAATATCCCTTGGGTCAGTTGGGATCACCTGTTCTGGCTGTGTCTCCTCCCAACCTCCCACGTACCCCCAGCCCCCTCACTGGCAGGGCAGTGTGAGAATCAGAAAAGGCCTTAGCTCTATATAAGCCCTGCTCAGCAGTAACTCAAACATCAGTGTGTTATCAACACTGCTTCATCACAGGAAGGACATCGACCTGTTGGAGCAAGTCCAGAGGAGGCCACCAAGTTCATTAGAGGGATGGAGCACCTCTCCTACTAGGAAAGGCTGAGAGAACTGGGTTTGTTCAGCCTGGAAAAGAGAAGGCTTTGGGGTGAGCTAATTGCAGCCTTCCTGAAGGGAGCCTACAAGAAAGAGAGAGAGAGACTATTTACAAGGGCCTGGAATGACAGGACAAGGGGCATTGGCTTCAAACTGGCAGACAGTAGGTTTAGATTAGATATTAGGAAGACATTCTTTACTATGAGGGTGGTGAGGCACTGGCACAGTGTTACAACCTGCCCTGCCAGGCAGGAGTAACTTTGTTTTATTATTATATCCCTAGGTCATCAGTGTTTGCATATATATATATATATATATATGACTTCTTTTAGAATAATTTGGTTGCAAAGGAAAACAGGTATGTAGCCATTTCGGTTGTAATATAGCCACCCAAGAAAATGTGTAAGGGAAAAGAGAGAAAGAAAGAGAGAAAAGAATAAGAGTTAAAAGAGAGAAAGAAAGAAAGAGAAGAATAAAAGTTATAGTCACCACTCAAAGGTCTCTGGTGAACTTGGTTGCTGTTGTCACTGGTGTCTGTTGGGGAGCGATGGGGGAGAGAAGCCCACAAAACACAGAATTCGGTGGGTTTATATACCGTGAGAAACCCTCCTGGTCCCACCCCATGTGTATGGGGAGCCGCTTTTGCAGAGGCTGAAAGCACTGGTTTTTGCAAAGTCATTTAGGCTTGGGGGTGGGGGTGCTTCAAAGCCACCCCTACTAAGAGGCCTCCTCTGGGGTAGTGATGGATGCGTGTATACATGGCCCCTTTGACATGGCCTGGCCCATAGGAGATAAATATCACACATCCAGAGAGTGCCACTGGTCTCCTTTAGATAGGCATCACACCCCCAAGACTTTGCCCCTAGGGCCTCCTCCCCTCAGCCTTATCTTCAGTCCCCTGGAAGGGGGCTTGCACAGCTCACTCCAGTAGCAATGTTTTAAGGCAATTTAAAAAGTCCAGTTCCTCACACACAGATTGCCCAGAGAAGTTGTAGACTCTTCATTCCTGGAAGTGTCCAAGGCAAGGTTGGATGGGGCTTGGAGCAACCTAGTCTAGTGAAAGGTGTCCCTGCCCATGGCAGGGGGTTTGAACTAGATGATCTTTAAGATCCTTTCCAACCCAAACCATTCTATCATTCTATGATTCAGCACAAATCCAAAACATAGCCCCATGCTAGCTACTATGAAGAAATTTAACTCTGTCCCAACCCAAACCAGTACAGGTAGTTATTGCCACTGAAAAAGACTTCCTCTGAAGAAAAATTGAAAAGATACCTTGGCTGTGGTGCAAGAACAGGATAGATGTGGAGCAATACCCACCTGGTAGGCAAGGAGCAATTTCCTGGAGCAATTCAGCTTCTGGTAGCTTGCTGCTCAGAGCTCTCTTGAGAGAGATCATATTTTTATGTTTAAATATGTACTTTTAATTATTTTATACAAGTAGCTTTTTGTCCATCTTATTCTTCTTTTTATCTTTGTCATGGAATGACTCTGTAGTTCTTCCAGATTCATGTGTTTCTATGGTAGACTTTTTATTCAAATGTGAGTCTTTCAAGGGTGACATCATGAAACTGGCTCTTGGAGTGCTGTGAGCAGGCAAGTGTGCAAGACTGAGGAATTGCTAAGAGAGGCTGTTTTTCTTGCTTGTAAACAGGTGTAAGTAACATGGCATTTCGCCACCTAATTGAGTTCACCTATACAGCAAAACTAATGGTCCAAGGTGAGGAAGAAGCAAATGATGTTTGGAAAGCAGCTGAGTATCTACAGATGTTAGAAGCGATCAAAGCACTTGAAATCAGGTAAACGCATAAGCCTCTTTTTCTTCCCAACACTGAAATGGAGAGTCTTAAGAATCCTTTTACGAGAGCTGACTACCAGTATTTTGCAGTGCTCTTCTTTATCCTGGAACCTCCTAAACCTGTGTGGTATTGTATACTCTTGTACTATAAGATATGGGTCAGAATTATACAGGCTAAAAAAATTAATGTCACATTCTTTGGGCTGGAACTTGATGACAAGTGACATGGATGTAAATGTTGCAGACATTGTAGGGCTGTGACTTCGTGATAACTAATACCAGGCCTCTGTACTATCTGACTGCCCACACCTGATTGCCAGCTGGCTGTACAGTGACAATGTCTCTCAGGTAATTAGACCACATTAACAAGTTTGCACTGGTGTTTTGATTTCATGCAGGTTTCTGCTTTCAAGAGAATAGGAAGTGATTTTAAAACTTCGTGTTGCAAAATTAGTGTCTCAAACTTCTTGAAAAATGTAATTGTTATAACTGGTTTCATATGGGATCAGTACTTAATCAAATGTTGCTGTAGCACCTTTTATCCAGTACTGTACAAGAAACAGTACAAGGAACTGCAATCCATTACCAAACTCCAACCTGAGAAAAGCATGTGCCATTCCCATCATGCTGTTTTTCTTCCCCTTCCTTCCCTTTCCCAAAGTGCTGTCATGTTCTCATTCCTTCCATATGCTACACTGTTCTTCTGTCATGAAGCAGAGGGAGGGGCAATAAATGCCTCCCAGCATTATGGTTATCTTTGTTTTCTCTTCTAAATATTCTGAAAGATCTTTGTGTTCAGGTTAAGGAAAGACTTGTTTCTTCTTTATCTCCCCATAGGCACACTAAGCTAAGGAGAGTGGCACTGACACAGAGTTCTTCTAGGAGCCAAACAAACAAAACCTCCATGACATGGTACCCTGGAAACTTGGTTTTCAACATCAGTGTTTTTTTGGGTTTTTTTGAATCGAGTTATTCTGTTGATTGGTAGCAGAACTGAATAAGTATGTTGGGGTTTTTTTAAGAAGAAAGATAGGATTGTTCATTTCTAGTTCTACAACTCCACCAACACCCTTTTTTGACATTATTAAGATTAAACATGGTATTGTTGCCTTAAGATAACGGGAACCAAAAATAGACTCACCAGGCAATCATTAGTAGAGATAAGGTAGAGAGCAGTTTTAATAGAAGACCTTCAACCACAGGGAGTACAGAGATGCGTGCACCACGTGTCCAGGGGTTACACAATTTATAGTACAGTCCATCCAATTCCAGATCTATCCGCCCCCCAGTTCTGCCCCCCTGGAAATTGAGTCAGGGGTCCTGAGACCCCCCCTTCCTCATCTTCCTCTTCGTCACAGCATGTCCAGTCCTTGGAGCTCCTCCAAGGTTCTGGGTTTTGAAGGTTGCTTTGTCTATTGGTGTATCTTCTTGTTCAAGCCACAGTGCAAATGTTCTTAAACAGAATGATGGGGGTACTAATTGACAGGAAGCTCAACATGAGCCAACGGTGTGCCCAGGTGGCCAAGAAGGCCAATGGGATCTTGTCCTGTATCAAAAATAGCGTGGCCAGCAGGACCGGGGAAGTGATCCTTCCCCTGTACTCTGCGTTGGTGAGGCCACACCTTGAGTATTGTGTTCAGTTCTGGGCCCCTCAGTTCAGAAAGGATATTGAGGTGCTGGAGCGGGTCCAGAGAAGAGCAACAAGGCTGGTGAAGGGACTGGAGCATAAGTCCTATGGGGAGAGGCTGAGGGAGCTGGGGTTGTTTACCCTGGAGAAGAGGAGGCTCAGAGGTGACCTCATCACCGTCTATAACTACCTGAAGGGAAGTTCTAGCCAGGTGGGGGTTGGTCTCTTCTCTCAGGCACTCAGCAATAGGACAAGGGGGCACGGGCTTAAGCTCCGCCAGGGGAAATTTAAGTTGGATATCAGGAGAAAATTCTTTACAGAGAGAGTAATCAGGCATTGGAATGGGCTACCCAGAGAGGTGGTGGATTCACCATCCCTGGAGATTTTTAAAGGCAGATTGGACGTGGCACTGAGTGCCATGATATAGTAAATGGACTGGATTTGGACCAAGGGTTGGACTCGATGATCTCGGAGGTCTTTTCCAACCCAATCGATTCTATGATTCTATGATTCTAAGGCCTACCTTGAGGGAAGTCTAAACAAACTAAAGGAATTTAGAAAGTTCGATATGAAATGGGGTAATAGGGTTGGGGTATGTGTAAACTACTGTGCTAAAGTGTGACAGACTACAGCTACTTCTACAATCTACAAAAAGCTAAAAATCAAAAAAAATCCATAGGCATCAGTATCACCAAAATAACTTTTTTTTCATTCAGGGAAAAGCAGACCTTTGCTGTCTGCTTGAGAAATTTCAGGCTCTTGAAATTGAAAACCGATGTTCTAATTGGTATCACTGTGAGTCTGTGTACACTGGTAGAGCTGTGAACCAGGATTCAGATCAGTCCATCCAGCTAAACTGTCTAGTCTGCAATTAATTCCCACTACTGTTTAATGTTATGCAGTTTATTCGTTATGCATCACTTGTAGATGCTGTAATTCTTATGTTACAAGGAAATAAATGTTTGGCTTAACACATACATGTTGAAACCAGTTTATTCTTAGGGTTATTTCAATTGTTCATAGATTTTTGGTCAGGTGTTTTTGGTTAGAAAAGCAAACTTGAGTACTACCTGTCAGTATCAGTTTTCTCCTTCACAGTAGGAAGGGGACAAATTGCAATACAGTGCCTCTATCTGAGGTTTGACTGAAACGGGTAAGCTTCAGAAACTTCAACTAAAGTAGAGGTTATTATAGAACTAACCATTTGTGTAATGCATCAGAGTTGCACAGCATATAATCTAGACTTGAAAGAAAAGAACTAATTGTTATTCCTTGAAGTACAGTGTGTTGTATGTGTTCAGTTTCACACCTGAGCCACACAATGTACTCAAGGACAGTAGTCTCCTCTTTTTATCAGGCTTCAAAGGAAGATAAAAGCACAAATTACTCTTGTAAGTCTGATTTGAGTGGAAGATAGCCACTCATTTTCAAAACTGATAATCAGTAGTAAAACCTCCAGAATGTAAGTGCTGTGGATAATCATGAGTGTGTGATTTCAAAGCATTGGCCCACTTAGCTCTGTCTGTGTTTATGGGATGCTATCTCTGACATCTTGGAGGAAGAGGGTTGTGTGTTTATGGTGCAAGGAATAGAGGAACAGAGCTAAGGACTGTGTTTAAGCCTAGATAAATTAAACTAAAATACTCCTTTCGCATCCCAGTGGCTTTTTTCTTTTTTATCACAATTGTTAGCTGTGTGTTTTCTTGAAGTACAAGATGTTATAATAATCATTGTGTGAAGTCACAGCTGTAGTGTTTTCTAAGAAGCTGTAAGTGCTGCAGGCAATTGCATGCACTCCAGAGCTTGAGGTGAATAGTGTAGGAAGAACTTGAATCTTATTTCTGGGTAGGCAGGCCAAAGAACTCCTTCCTTTGGAGAAGTTTTCTTTCCAAGTACAGAATTTCACAAGTTTCTTAGATACACCTATGTCATTAGGCTAACTGGCCTTTCTTCTTGAATAGGTGCTTTGTATCATTCAAGTGGAGCTATTTAAAACACTTGAATAACCCTATGTTAAAGGCTCCACAGCTTTAACTGTGCTATTCTGCAGCTCCAAGGTGTATAGATAAAGGACAAATTAGCTTCTGAAATGGGTGCAGGTTATGTGGTCATTCATAATTCAGCTTCTTTGAGAAACAGCTAGCTAGTATTTAATGCAGAAGCTCAGCATCAGGCAGGAATTGTTATGTAAGTGCTTATAGATCTTAACTATGTTTATGCAAATGTTTTGCAGGAACAGAGAAAATTCATCACCATTAGAATCAAATCAAAGGCAAGATAAAAATAAAGCAAAAAAGAGGAAGATAGCTGAAACCTCTAATGTTATCACAGAAACACTGCCATCTGCAGAATCAGCGCCTGTTGAAATTGAGGTTGAGATTGCTGAAGGGATGATTGAAGTAGAAGATAACAGCATTGAAACACTTGAAGTAGCTTCTGCAGAGCAATCTATAAAGTACATACATACAATGGGTACATCAGATGAATCTGCTTTGGCTCTTTTGGCTGATATCACCAGTAAGTATCGTCAAGGAGAGACAAAATGCCAGATCCAAGAAGAAGGTGGCAGTGCAACTGATCCCTCGTTCAAACAGGTAGAAGATATTGAAATTGTGGAACTTCAGCTGTCCCACGTGAAGAATTTATTCCACTGTGAAAAATGTAACCGTTCATTTAAATTGTTTTACCATTTTAAGGAACACATGAAAACACACTCTGCTGAGAGTTACAAGTGTGACATATGCAATAAAAGGTACCTACGAGAGAGTGCTTTGAAACAACACCTCACCTGTTACCACCTTGATGAAGGTGGTGCTAGCAAGAAGCAAAGACCTGGCAAAAAAATACATATATGCCAGTACTGTGATAAGCAGTTTGATCACTTTGGTCATTTTAAGGAGCACCTCCGAAAGCACACAGGTAAGAGCTATAGTCCTGTACTTGTGGCTTTGGCTCTAGTATTTTGGGGTTTTGCATGTTTTGGGGAAATAAAGAATATGCTGAAGAAAATGCATGAGTCCTGAGTGCTAGAAATGCTTGGCTTCTAGTTGCAACTAAACTGCTGGTTTGTTTTTTTTATTTTATTTTTTTGTTTTACATTGATAAAAACTTTGAGGGATTGAGGTGGTTAAAAATGGATGCCCAAAACCAGAAAGCACTAATGAAGCTTCTCTCTTAAGTCTATTAAATCTTAAAATATTTCCTTCAAAATAATTTCTGAAAGCATGTTTTTTTCTTCAAAAGTACCAAACTGAGGAGCCACTCTTATGTTCACAATTCTACTAGTAAATGTTTCTGTTGAAATATGATCTGAACCATGAACTTCTCAGTGGAATATACATTTTAAAGGGTTTCTTTAACAGAACTTATGAGCAAATGCCTGTTAATGCATTAGGCATAAAATACCCCCCTTGCTCTTGATATCTCATTTATGATTTCATTTTCTTTGTTAATTAACACAGCAAAATATTTCTAGCGACTATAGTAGACTTTTGTTACTGTAAAATCTGCCTCTTTGAAATCTGGACGGCATCTTTTGAGTACAAAATTACTTGTGCTTCTTCTATATAATATGGGAGGTTAAGATGCTATTTCTTCATCTCACTGAAAAGTCTGTACTATCTGAATAGCTACTGAGCATTATATAGATAGCTCTCTGAATGTAAAATACATGTTGTCCTGATCTTTTAGATGTTTTTGTGTAATATGTCAGTCATGAGTCATCAATAAGAATTTAATAGAAGGTAACAGTCTTATTTCTTTTGCAGCTTGTTCTTGTGAAAGCCTTTTAATTTGAACTTCTTTGCATCTGTATATGGGACTGCTGAGTATTGATATATGACACTGTATCCAATCTACTCCAAACAACCCCTTAAAACTTGCATTTAGGAAAACTCTTTGGCAAATCCTTATCCTCTATGAAGCAGGGAGTGTTTCTCCATTATGACCAAGCCAAATACAAGCTACCTAACAAAAGTCTTTTCAGAGAAAAGTTTGTGGAGGATTAACAGAATAAGCTAAATATAACAGTATGTTGGTTGCTGTTGTGACAAAGGATTTTGGGGATGAAGCAACTTAGCATATCACAGGAGATGCAGAGTACTTTCTAAATATTTATTGATGCAAGTATCACACATGGAATCTAATTACTTCCAGTTCCAGTGATGTGCTGCTCCAAGCAGCCAAATTAATCAGCCCATGTCTGTAAACTCTGTAATTGAACTAATTTGTATGCAGATTATACAAACTTATTGGGAAAAATTAATCAAGGTCTTTGCCATTCTTCATTAATCTAAAATATGTTTCACAGGAAGCATACTTTGAACTGCAAATAAAATCTTCCATAGGAGTGAATAAATGGACTCTATTTGCATACCTTGAATAAATGATCCCAAGAAGTTCATTTGATAAATGCCTGCCTTTGTGTTTGTGGGGGAGAAAAAAAGAAAGAAAAAACCCAAAAAAAACCCCAACAAACTTTACTATTTCTCTCTAAACCAAATCTAAATAATGATTTGGCAACTTTATGGTTATGGTTGAATTCCCTAGTATTTCTTACATATTGGGCAAATAAATAAGTCACTGTGTTGTTATGAATGTCTTTGGGTTAAAAAATATTTATTTTGGGCAGTCCCCTTCCTATGGCTGCAGGATTATAAAGGACCAGCACAATATTGGACTATCTTAGATCAGAATTTCTGTCCTGAGAGTTACTTATGATTGGCAAGTGAAATCTCGCCTGTTCTTATAAATGAAAAAAAAATTAATTGTTAGATCAGGCCAAGAACCTCCCTCATTAGTCTCATCTAAGTGAGATTTTATAAACTCATAGTTGAATGACACCCGGGGGAAGAGAAGCAAGTTGTCACCTTTAGCAGAGGAGTTTATTCCCCAGCTTGCCAGTGCACATCTCAAGCTAGAGGCAGGCTGATACATTCTCTGTGTTTTCTATTGCTGCTGTGACCAGCAGAGCTGAGGTTGCAGCATTGATTTGCGCTGTGCAAGAAGTCACACAATGTTTTTTTTGGCCTTTAGATATTGCCACTGTTGTTTTTGATTTGTCAGTTTCAGATACTTTGAGCAGAATATGTTGAAGATTGTTGAAGAATTTGATTAAGAATAGAATAAATCAGTCCTTAATGGGGCAGTGCCTTGCTTCAAGTAACTCCTTAAATGTGACCAGATCACGGGGCGGGTGAAGGTTTGTGGTGTGAGTTTTGTTCTGTAGTATTCATAGAATCATAGAATGGTTTGGGTTGAAAGGGACCTTAAAACTCGTCTCGTTCCACCCCCTGCCACAGGCAGGGACACCTTCCACTAGACCAGGTTGCTCCAAGCCCTGTCCAACCTGGCCTTGAACACTTCCAGGGATGAGACATCCACAGCCTTCTCTGGGCAACTTGTGCCAGGGCTTCACTACCCTCACAGGGAAAAATTTATTCCTAATATCTAATCTAAACCTACTCTCTGTCAGTTTGAAGCCTTTCCCCCTTCCCAGTGAAGACTGAGGCAAAAAAGTTGTTGAGTACCTCAGCCTTCTCCTCGTCCATTGCTTCCATTTTACCAGCGTTGTTTATTGGGGGGGTAACACCTTTTTTCGCCTTCCATTTTCTGGCTGACATACCTGTAGAAGCCCTTCCTGTTATTCTTTGCATCCCTTGCCAAGTTCAGCTCCAGCTTCGCCTTGGCCTTCCTTGACCCCATCCCTACACAGCCAAACTTCATCTCTATACTCTTCCCAGGATACCTGTCCTTGCTTCCACTGCCTGTGCATTTCCTTCTTGCTCTTTAGTTTGACCAGCAGGTCCCTACTCAGCTATGCTGGTCTCTTGCCTTCCTTGCCTGATTTCTTACTCCTGGGGCTCACCTCCTGAGGTATTCTCTTGGCTCACCAATGTATTCAGGCCAAGTGCCAGGTCCTGCACTTTGGCCACAACAACCCCATGCAGCACTACAGGTTGGAGACAGAGGGGCTGGACAGCAGTCAGGCAGAAAGGGACCTGGGAGTTCTGATTGACAGGAAGCTGAACATGAGCCAGCGTGTGCCCAGGTGGCCAAGGAAGCCAATGGCATCCTGGCCTGTATCAGGAATAGCATGGCCAGCAGGATCAGGGAAGTGATTCTTCCCCTGTACTCAGCACTGGTGAGGCACCACCTCAAGTACTGTGTCCAGTTCTGGGCCCCTCAATTCAGGTAGGATATTGAGGTGCTGGAGCATGTCCAAAGAAGGGCAAAAAGGCTGGTGAAGGGACTGGAGCACAAGTCCTATGAGGAGAGGCTGAGGGAGCTGGGGTTGTTCAGCCTGGAGAAGAGGAGGCTCAGGGGAGACCTCACCACTCTCTAGAACTACCTGAAAGGAGGTTGTAGCAAGGTGGGTATCGGTCTCTTCTCCCAGGCAACCAGCAGTAGGACAAGAGGGCACAGTCTTAAGCTGCACCAGGCGAGGTTTAGGTTGGACATCAGGAAGAAATTCTTCACAGAGAGAGTGATTGGGCATTGGAATGGGCTGCCCAGGGAGGTGGTGGATTCACTGTCCCTGAAGGTTTTTAAGATGAGACTGGATGTGGCACTTAGTGCCATGGTCTAGTAGACGAGGTGGTGTTGGGTCAAAGGTTGGACTCTATGATCTGAGGTCTTTTCCAGTGTAGTTGATTCTGTGATTCTGTATTTGGTTGCTCATGCAATGTCTGTGATTTTTGATCTGCAAGACAGATGGTAGTTCAAGCATCTTCTGCATTACCTGTACAACAGTTTCCAAAAACATAGCCTTTTATAACCATTAAGGGGAATGTTTCCTCCATTTAACATTTTTCTGTGACCTTTAGGTGCATAAGCAAGAATCATAGGCTACTTGTGGATTTCTTTTGAAAAGTTTCTTATGCACTTCTGAATGTCTTTATTTCTGAAAATACAGATTTATTTGCTTTCCATCTCAGTAGTCAATACTTACTGCATTCATGAAAATGTAGGCTTTTAAACTTAATCTAGCTAGAATAGATTCTTATGTTACTCCCTGAAATGTATCAGCTTCTTCTGGAGTTCATGAAGTAGTTTGTTTCAATAGTGATGTTGGTATCAGTACCTCCACAGATTAATTATCAGACTCAGAAGAAACACATCGTTCCTAATTTTTTTGTACTTTAATTTCCTTGAATTTCATTGTGTTTGTGTATGATAAAATTAGTAAACAGAGACAGCAGTTTTTCTTTGTTACTATTTGATGATGGTAATAATGATATACTACTTCGAATTAAAGTTTTGAGGATTGGTTTGTTTGTTTTAATACCAATGCATTGTTACTTCATGGTCATTCTGTGTCAACTTCTTTTTCTGGAGCTTAGTTTCAGCTCTCTGTCATTGTTCTTGAAAATAAAACTTTGTATTATTTAAATACCTCCTTCATTAATGTGTCACTTTGTATATACTAATGTTAAGCCTTTAACTTATTATCAGGTGAAAAGAGAGAAATAGCTGCTATTTCTTTAGGATATTTCATCAGAATAATAACCTAACTTTCATAAAAACCTGAATATACCTTAAATGACACTGGGAATTATATTACATTATTGTGTGTATGGTTTTTGTTTTGATTTGTTTGGTTTATTTTGTTTTGGTTTTATAAATGAGAGTTATGACTCCACATTAGGTTTTTGCCATTTTATTTACGTAAAGTTTACATAGAATGTCTTTCTTCTGTAGAATAGTCCAGTTGGCCACATCTTTACAGCATATTTATCAACCTACACAAAAGGAAGAGCTGACCAAAAACTGGCTGGTTTTATACACTTACATATCCTTGTGTCTGTCTTAACAGGTGAAAAACCATTTGAATGTCCAAATTGCCATGAGCGTTTTGCTAGGAATAGTACACTCAAATGTCACCTGACGGCCTGTCAGTCTGGAGCTGGAGCTAAAAAGGGAAGAAAGAAGCTGTACGAATGTCAGGTGGGTAATAGGACTAGCAGAGTCTGAGGCTAGATACCTCCTTCCTGTGCTGAGGGAGTGTGAGAGTACTGAGCAGGAAAGGCAACAAAAATGGACTTATGTCTCCAAGAACTATTTTTAGTAAAATAAATTATAAAGGTTGCCTTCAAGTACAATATGAGGGTAAATTCTAAGTAGTTCCATTTAAAATATTAAATTACTAATATGGAGCTTCATAATACTTAGTTAATCAGAGAGATTCTTGTGAGTAGGTAAATGTTCAAATACATCTTACTGATCTTTCTGCTTCCTTTTTAAGGTTCTTGATGAACCGACCTAGGCCTTTCCTGCTTGTGAGCATGCTTCACTAACGTCCAAAATGCAAAGTACTATTTTATTTCCTAATTTATTCTTCTTCTCTTTAATACCAATATATTGACTGGCTGGAAAGTCATTTCAACTTATGATGACAATCTGTAATGTTTTTTAAGCAAATATAAATGCTGTAGAGGGATAGGCAGGGTACTTGGTCACTATGCAACTGACATGTGAAAAGCTGTTGTCGTGGGTTTACTCTGGCCAGATTTAAACCCTCACAAAATTGCTAAAAGGTGAGAGAGGTTCACACAGGCAAGACAGACTTGATGTGAGGATAATATTAAAATTTATTGCTAACAGGATAGGGACTAAAAAGTAATAAAATACATAGTATTAAACACACTTCTAACCACCCTTCGGCCCCCTGCATCAATGCAGGAGGAGAACTCTCAGGGCGATAGCCAAAGTCTCTCTTCATCGGGGTGCGGGGGGGTCTCTGCACCCCCGATGATCCTTCATGGGCTGCAGGGGGACAACCTGCTCCACCATGATCTTCACCACAGGTTACAGGGAGTTAAAGCTCTGAGTCTTTTCCCTGCTACGTGGGGTCCCTCCCAGGGGAGTAAGTTCTCAGGGGACCCCTCCAAGTCAGGTCCACACCTCCCCCAGGTCACAGGTTCTGGGGTTCGGCTCAGTCTTTATACCCCAATAGTTTTCATTAAAGTCCTACCCAGAACAACCTGCTTCAACGTGGCTTCTCTCTCTCTCCGAGTTGCAAATTCCCTGAAGGACTTCACTCCCTCTTAGTCCTCCCACAGCAGGATAGCAATCCTCCTTCATGGGCTGCAGCTGTGCCGCAGCAGAGTCCTTCGGCTAGTCCCGTGGCTGCCACCACACCTTCGCAGGGGCCACTCTGCTTGCTCTGAGCCAGATGCTCAGAGCTGCAGCCAGCCTGCTGCCGCCTCTCCCCCGCTGTCCGGGAGGCTCCCAAGCAGCTCTTCTCTCACTCTCTGGAATTTCTTCTGCGCTCTGCTGCACGCCTCAGCCGGGGCCCCAGTCCTGGCCCCAGTCGCCCCTCCGCCCACAGCCTCCGCTACCTGCTCCGGGCTAGCAGCTGCTGCGGACCCAGGGTCATGGGCCAGGGCTGCGGGGCCCAGCCTCCCGGGTCGGACGGCTCCCTCTGCTACTCTCCTGGCTCCAATTTCTTCTGCGCCACAAGCCTTCTCTTCCGTTTTCTTAAATATGTAATTCGCAGAGGTGTTACTAAAGCTTCTAATTGGCTCAGCACCAGGAAGTCCACCCCTGGAATTAACTATCTTCAGCTCCAGAGGGAAAAGAACGAGTAAACTCACAACAGCTGTTTAGAAGAATGTTACTTAGCGTTTAAAAGTTGATCCTGAAAAGCTAGAAAATATGAGAGCTGAGGTTGGTTGTAGCATATTTATTTACCATTTTGCTGCCCCACTGCTGTGACAGTCTCAAATAAGGCTCTTACCTTAGTCAGTTCACAGAACTGCTGTGGTTTGAGGTTAAATTGGGTTGTGTAGTAAAGAAAACTGTTGGATATCAGCTTTATTTGTTAAAAAAAAGAGTGATCTTATTCACAGAAAGTGGCGAATACTGCAGGAGGTGAATAAATTCATTTAATCAAAAGTTTCACCAATGCTGTTGCATTGCTTAGTTATGCTATACTGAAGTTAATTCTTGGGAGCATGCTTTTGTCTTAAAGATAAGTTTGTTTTGAACATGAGAACTACTGTATAACACAAAATTGTACCTAGTAGCCTCATTGAAGATACTGTTTTGTTTTTGTGACCCTTCGGTTTAGTTGCTTCACCTCATAGCTTTCTCTGTTACAGATAACTGTAAATGTGGGTTAGTGTTATTTCAGCCTGCAGCAACTACAGGGATTCTTGGATAAATTTTTCTTGAATTTTTTTCTCTTTAGAACTGAATTTTAATAGTGTTAAATAAATAATCATCATGGCTAGGCTTCGCGAACGAAGATTTGGGAAGGCACTATCCACATTTGCTACAGGCACGCTGGTGGCTTATGAGGCCAATACGTGACAGACATATCTGATTGCAAAAGGCACAGCAGAAAGACTCCTTAGATGGTGTATTCTGCAAGGCACGGTTCTTTCTGCGTTGCCTTTTTTCCTCGAGAGTGAAAATAAATAAAATCTTGTTAAATAAATAAAATCTTGGTTCACTGAACAAGGAGGAGAAAACAAAATTGCATTTGCTTGATGAGCACTTTTGGTGCTCTTCAGTGTACCCCTTGAGTACTGAATTAGGCTCCACATGGCAAGAAGAGTATATTATGTGCCTGGGTATTACTGATAGTCATTACCTTTATGTATGACTAAGTAATTTTGAGTGCTTATCTATAAGGTTAGTATTTTAAGAAGTGTATATGTTCAGCTTCTTTCTAAAGCATGAGCCTAGGGGACACACATACACAAAAAGCATGTCACTAGCATCACAAACATGGTTTTAAGATTTCAACAGCAAAATGGAGATATTCAGCTCGATTACACAGACCTGTTCCTTGAGTTAATCCCTGTTAGATACTCTATCATCCTTCTGTGCTGTCGCTGAAAATTGAGGAGATGGAACATTCTGTTTCAAAAATATTTGCCAACAGTGAAATGCATGTTCTTTGCTTCTTTCTGCAGCCAAGAGTGGACAAAGACACCTGACCCCGTTTCTTTACTCCAAGCCTGACTCTACCCCATTCTTCTCTCTCTGTTCTACCCTGGCACCTCATTCATTTCTGCAGTCTTTGTGTGTTGTTTTCAGGCTACTTACCTCCGTGCCAGCTGAAGGGAAGCGTGCTCATATGCTTTGTGAAAATAGTATGTCTGCAGTCAAAGCAGTACTTTTAGCTGGAAGAGACTTAAAAAGATGGAGTTTTAAGACATTTCTATCTGCTAAAATCACTCAAATATTTTTCTTGAAATGGCAAAATGTGAGAGTTTAGTCTATCCATGAACAAATGAAAGCTGATAAGGAAATGTTGGCTAGTAGTACTGCATCTAGAACTTCAGTAAAAGGACAGCTTGTATTGCACTTTGATCATAAGATATTATTACATAAATAGCTTTACACTCAAAATTCTAGCACCAGACATTTATTGGGGTGTGAATCTGTATGTGAATTTCACATAAGGTTAAAATAAGAAAACTTTAAAATGTTGTACTGACTCACATCCTGTGTATGCACAACTAAAAATGGCACACCATGTCTTAAAAATAAATACCAGGTCTTCTGTTCATTTGAAGCTGACTTCTCAGCTTTTACCTCTAACATACATGGTGGGCTTTCTTAATCCAAGTAGCAAGAAGCTACACTATGTGAAGCCATGATCTGAAATAGGCACTATACTTTGTTATATTTCTTTTTGCACTTTTTAACATACTGTATCTTTTGTTTCAGGTTTGTAACAGTGTGTTTAACAGCTGGGATCAGTTTAAAAATCATTTGGTAATACACACTGGTGACAAACCCAACCACTGTACCTTCTGTGATTTGTGGTTTATGCAAGGCAGTGAGCTGAGAAGGCATCTCAAAGACATGCACAATATTTCAGAACGAATAGTGACAGAAGAGGTTCTTCCAATGGAAGCTATGGAAGCTGAACCAGTAACATCAATGACTATAATAGAACAAGTGGAGCAAGTCCATGTCCTACCAGTAATTCAGGTACAAGTGGATCCTGCACAGGTAACTGTGGAACAGATGCACCGGGATCTCATACAGGACAATCAAGTGAAAGGCACACAGATGGAGGAACTGCAAGAACAGGTGCAAATTAGTTACTTGGAAGTTGAACACATTCAGACTGAACAAAGTGCTGAAGTTCACATGGAGCATGTAAATCAAATACAGATAAAAGAAGTACAGGCAGAACTTATAGATGGAACAGACCTTGAACAAGTAGAATATGAAAGTGTTGATCAAGGAGAAGCAGAAGAAAATAAAACTAGTCAAGTAGATGATGCAGATATGGAAAATCATGAACAAGCTGAAGACTTAAAAACTCAACAATTAGTGGAAACACAGAATGAAAAGGTAGATGACTAGGACAAATAATCACACTGTGCAGGTTTAGGAATGAAATACCCAATTATTTTTGCTAACTTTTACATTAATTTTTGAACCAATGGTGGGTGGTCACCTTTCCAATATGCTGTCCTTAGGAAGCTGGACAAGTGGACCAAAGTTAGCTTTCTTCATGTAAAACTACACTTCTCTCATATGAAAAATAACTTTCCCATTCATGTACTGCCATGGAACAGAAACTACCAAAGACACGGACAGCTTTGTGAGGCAGGGAAGACAGCCAGCCTGGCTGAACAGGGAGATCTTGAGAGAAATTAGGATGAAAAAGAGAGCCTACCAATTATGGAAAAAAGGACTGGCTACTCAGGAAGAGTTCAGGAATTTAGTTAGGTCATGTAGAAAGAAAATCAGAGAGACGAAGGCAAGATTTGAACTCAATCTTGCCACTGTTAAGGAAAATAAAAAGTCTTTCTATAGATACATCAGTATCAAAAAGAGGGACAAGGAAAACCTCCTTTCTTTAGTGGACATGGGGGGGAACATAGTTATTAAAGATGAGGAAAAGGCTGAGGTATTTAACACCTTCTTTACCTCAGTCTTCAACGGTAGGACAGGTCTCTCTGAGGACAGCTGGCTTCTGGAGCATGTAGATAGGAATATGAAGCTGAATAGTCCCCCCGTAATCAAGGAGGAAACAATCAGCGACCTTCTGAGCCACTTGGATCCTCACAAGTCTATGGGACCAGATGGGATCCACCCAAGGGTGATGAGGGAGCTGGCGGAAGAGCTCGCCAAGCCGCTCTCCATCATTTCCCAACAGTCCTGGCTCACTGGGGAGGTCCCAGATGATTGGAAGTTGGCAAATGTCACACCAATCCACAAAAAGGGCCGGAAGGAGGACCCAGGAAACTACAGACCTGTCAGTCTGACCTCAGTGCCTGGCAAGGTTATGGAGCAGATCATCCTCAGTGCAATCACACAGCACCTACAGGATGGACAAGGGATCAGACCCAGCCAGCACGGGTTTAGGAAGGGCAGGTCCTGTCTGACCAACCTGATCTCCTTCTACGATCAGGTGACCCGCCTGGTGGATGAGGGGAAGGCTGTGGATGTGGTCTATCTGGACTTCAGCAAAGCCTTTGACACTGTCTCCCATAATATACTCCTGAAAAAACTGGCAGCCCATGGCTTGGACAGGGACACTGTGCTGGGTTAGGAACTGGCTGGAGGGCTGGGCCCAGAGAGTGCTGGTGAACGGGGCTGCATCCAGCTGGCAGCCGGTCACCAGTGGTGTCCCCCAGGGATCAGTGTTGGGCCCAGTTCTGTTTAATATCTTTATCGATGATTTAGATGAGGGGATTGAGTCCATCATTAGCAAATTTGCAGACGACACCAAGTTGGGAGGGCGTGTCGACCTGCTGGAAGGCAGGAGGGCTCTGCAGATGGACCTGGATAGGCTGGAGAGTTGGGCTGGTTCCAACGGGATGAGGTTCAACAAGGCCAAGTACCGGGTCCTGCACTTTGGCCACAACAACTCCCTGCAGTGCTACAGGCTGGGGACAGAGTGGCTGGAGAGCAGCCAGGCAGAAAGGGACCTGGGGGTGCTGATTGACAGGAAGCTGAACATGAGCCAGCAGTGTGCCCAGGTGGCCAAGAAGGCTAATGGCATCCTGGCCTGTATCAGGAACAGTGTGGCCAGCAGGACCAGGGAAGTGATTCTTCTCCTGTACTCAGAGCTGGTGAGGCCTCACCTGGAGTACTGTGTCTAGTTCTGGGCCCCTCAGTTCAGGAAAGATGTTGAGGTGCTGGAGCAGGTGCAGAGAAGGGCAACGAGGCTGGTGAAGGGACTTGAACACAAGTCCTATGAGGAGAGGCTGAGGGAGCTGGGGTTGTTTAGCCTTGAGAAGAGAAGGCTCAGGGGAGACCTCATCGCTCTCTACAACTACCTGAGAGGAGGTTGTAGGCAGGTGGGGGTTGGTCTCTTCTCCCAGGCAATCAGCAGTAGGACAAGAGGGCATGGCCTTAAGCTGCGCCAGGGGAGGTTTAGGTTAGATATTAGAAAGAAATTCTTTACAGAGGGGGTAATCAGCCATTGGAATGGGCTGCCCAGGGAGGTGGTGGATTCTCCATCCCTGGAGGTTTTTAAGATGAGGCTGGACGTGGCACTTGGTGGTAGTGGTCTAGCAACTGTGGTGGTAGTGGATCAAGGGTTGGACTTGATGATCTCAGAGGTCCTTTCCAACCCGTCTGATTCTATGATTCTATGATTTTAATAATGAATAGCTTTTATCACTTACATCATCCCTGGCTATATGTAAGAGTAACTTTACCTCTTTTCCTCTTGCTATAGAAGCAAACTCTTGTTATAGATTTGCGGAGTGTCTGTGGCAGAAGAATCAGTAAAATCTGGTGGGTTCTAATGTAAGTGGCCAGTTGGGTACCTGTGAATTTTCTGGGCAGATTGTTTGCTAACAGCAGTCCCTAACTTTCAGGCTGGGGAAAAAACACTGTTGCTGGAGGACTTGGAGCACAAAAATCCTGTGCCTTTTTGTTGTGGTTTAACCCCAGCCAGCCACCCAGCCCCTCACGGCCACTCACTCCCCCACTAGCAGAATCAGGGAGAGAATTGGAAAGGTAAAAGCCAGAAAACTCATGGGTTGAGATAAAGACAGTTTATTAGGGAAAGCAAAAGCTGCTCACACAAGCAAAGCAAAACAAGGAATTCATTCAACCCTTCCCATGGGCATCAGGTGTTCAGTCACCTCCAGGAGAGCAGAGCCCCATCACACGTAACGGTGGCTTGGGAAGACAAACACCATCACTCCAAACATCCCCCCCTTCCTCCTTCTTCCCCCCACTTTATATACTGAGCATGATGTCATATGGTCTGGAATATCCCTTGGCTCAGTTGGGGTCACCTGTCCCAGCTGTGTCCCCTCCCAACCTCCCACACATCTCCAGTCCCCTCCCCAGCAGAACCATAGGAGGAGCAGAAAAGGCCTTGGCTCTGTGTAAGCCTTGCTGAGCCATAACAAAAACATCTCTGTATTATCAACCCTGTGTTCAGCACAAATCCAAACACAGTCCCACACCAGCCGCTGGGAAGGAAATTACCTCAGCCAAAAACAGCACAACAGTGGTTAAATTTCCACAAAGCTCCTAGGGAGTATTCAAGATCCTAGTTCAATAAAAGGCGATGTAGGTAATGTTATAGTGCTTTATATCAGCTACTGATTTTTTTTTTCATTAAATTTAGGAGGGGATGAGGGAGGAAACTGATTCTATGTGGAGGCAGCAGGACACTCTAAAAGGGACACTTTAAATTAGGAAAAGCTCAGTAGAATCTGTGGTAAACATGAGTTAGAAGAAAGCTACCAGAAGGCTCTTCTTTTATAAATTGTCATTTTTGAAAATGAATATTTTTAAACATAAATATAGAGAAGGCTTGTCTATATGGTATCAGGTTCCTGATTTTTTTTAATGAAATTCTGACACTTGACACAAAAACATTGTGCTAAAAGTAAAAGCCATAAGTATGAGTCCTAAAATGTGAATTGAAAAGTAAGAGTGCAAATATTTTAATTAGTATTAGATAATAAAACAATAGCATCCATGAAATATTGCATTATTTGCTTAATCCAATAAATTAGGAACAACTGAGTGACTGGCAATTACAATGCCAGATCCCAATGGCAAGAATGAATATAATTTTAATAACTTTACAGTAATGACCTGTTAATCTTAAGTTTGTTTAGAAAATACTTGTCTAGCTCTATGTTTAAGGATGCTAAGAACTTCCAATTCTGAATTATTGCCTTGAGATTAGAGGTGCCTCCATACTTCTGAAAAACCTTGTTTTCAAAGCCTTAAGTAAAGGGAGGAATTTTTGCAAGGACGTTCCCTAATGCTCTTGGTAATCCTGTTAAAATCAGGCTTTTCTATTCAGTCTTCTCCAAATGCAAAATTATTTCTTGAGATTTGTACTTTTATTTAGTCTCATTCAAAATGATTCTTGTGTTTCATCATAGCTAGCCTTTGAGAAACTGTTGCAAAACAAACAAATCACAATTAAAATTTCAAACAATTTGATTATCGTAACTTGCATTCTTTTTTTATGTTTTATATTTTCTGAGATGCAAGTAATATGTGATGAGATTATGTGCAGAGGAAAGAATGTGACTCGATGTTAATCATGAAAGTAAAAGTTAGCTATTGTATTTATACCTGGCTTCTGATAAGAAGCCTGCCTTTGGATAACATGGAGGGGATGCAGCTTGCTTAGCTGCATAACTCTAATTTTTTCAGCATTTATGCATATAGACACCAGGTCTGTATCAGTGGAGTTAAAGGAACAATCTCACTGTGTCTAATCAATGAAACTAACTTTTAGGCAATTTAAGTCCAACGTAAATTGAGCAGTTATGTATTATTGATACCAGGGCTGTAGTTTGGTAAGCATAGTTGGGTTATTTTTTGTTCTGTTTAATCTCCCTTTTTTAACAACAGTTTGTGAATTTGGTAGGAGAGAAATGATGCTCTGTTGTTGTGCCCAGTGCTGCCTCTATCCAGACTTCTGCTGAGCCTGGGTGGGAATGCAGTGGGGGTATGTGTCGTAGGGTATCTGTCGGTAGGTCTTGGTCCATGGGGGAAGAAAGACACACGACACACAACAGAGTGATGAGACAGAGAGATGTCTGCCTGCTCAGCGCAGCAGGCAGCTTTTATTGAGATCGCTCGCTTCAACTTTCTCACACATACAATATAAACATATTCTTGCAAAAACATTTAGGCATGCAGCACCTGCACTCAGCCAAACAGCTTTAACCTTGTACTCTTTATAACTCAAGGCTGTGTCCATGGGAACTATCTAATTAGCTTTACTGCTCTCATGGAAAACGGCCCAACACTTTGTAATATTCCAAACCCCTCAAGCTTCAACTGTGGGGCTGCGACTTCACCCCACAGGTATGACCAATCCCCTCTTCACCCTGAGGGACAGGGTGAAAAGCTCTCCTCAAGTAATAACTCCACTGGAAAGTGTCCCTTTGTAACCCCCTCTTCCCTAGAATTTCCTTTCCAAATTGCTTCCATGGGTGGAGTCCTCCATGCCTCCTTACTGCAACAGCTAATACTGGGGGAGGGATGATTGACTTTGAGAGTCAGTAGTTCTGGTTGCTCTCTGTAACAACCACCTTGCCATCTTTCTGCCACAAATGTCTATACAGACACGCAGACCTCTCCAAACTATATACCTATGCACCACTGGAGGAGTTCTTCCCTCTAAATAAGTATATGCTGCTGGTCCCCAGTGTCCTGTGTTATGCAGGTACTGGTCTGTAGCTTGCAATGAGGCAGCACACAGCTGCACTTGTTGCATGGGGCCTGCAGTGAGCCGTGTCACATGAGGTGAATGCTTCAATTCATGCTGAATGAAACTAATTGGCTAAATCAGTGGGGTCTAAGCAGTGAGAAATGGAAAAGTTGGAATGAACAAAAACATGTGAGGTGTGTCTGGATACAAAATAAAAAGTAAGCATTAAATTGAGACTTGAGGTTGGGGGTAGACTTGTGGATTTATATACAATATTCATGAGAGGCCACAAGCTACTTCTGAAAGAAGGGCAGGGAGAGGAAAGGGAGCTGATCAATAGTTTGTGATCTGCTGAATTATTCAGGCAATATAAGAAAGGATTAGCTGCTTTTTTCAAAAACAGTTTCAAAAGCATGTTTCATCTGCAGGCTTATGAGGATGGAATTGGATGTCAGTCCTGTGTGAAATGGTCACTAGAGGAGGATCATGCAGCCTCTGCTGTTTCACGCCTGCAGTGGAATTTTTAATTAGCTAATGGTGCAGAATATGGTACTCTCTTACACAAATTCTGTAACTTAGTATTATTTCAAATGAGGAAACATTTAAATATATGTTTAATTTGGTTGCTTACTTTTAAGGACTGAAGTATCTCTTCTATAGGGACTATTGTGAACATGTAACATACAATTAGATTTTTTTTTATTTCTAACAACCTCCTTAAACTGTTGTGTTTGCTTCTAGAAAATAATTTTAAAATTATAGCAACTTGTTTACAATTAAAATACAAATAATTTGTGGCTTGTTAAACATCGTGTGGCTCAGGCAGGTACAACAGATGCTGGAGCTCACCAGCTCAGATCTAGTAACACTTCAGCCACGACTGGACCTAACTATGCCTGTGTTTGCATCCTGGTCATGGCTTTGCATGCAGTGTGAGTAATGCTCACACAGCTCCCTGATACTTTTTTCCCTAACTGGAACCTTGTCATCTATAAATGTCTCTGCTGGGACTTGTCTTTCCGATTCCTTTGAGAGCTGGTGGCCTTTTGGGGAAATAATTTGTACCATTAAAAGAACTGAAACTAGAAAGGAGGGTGCAGCCTGTAGATCCTGGGGTGAGGGTCTCAAACATGGGAATACGAGGACCCGGAAGGTGTAAGTGGTGTGCAGGGGCTGTGCCTGGCATGTGACAGCTGGTTGCAGGATCGCAGCCCGTCGCCGCCGGAGCTGTCCAAGGTTTTGCAACAAAGGCGACTGCGGCGGCAAACCTAGCCCGGGCTGCCAGCCCTCTCAGCCGGGGTGTTGGGAGTCGGGCATGCGGGGGACGTGATGAGGCAGGGAGGCCCGTCCCCGCCGCGTGGGGAGAAGAGTGAGACGCGCAAATGGCGGGAAGTTGGCAGGGGCTGAGGCCCGCGATCCCAGGCGGGCCTCCTCTGCCCGGGGTTGGTCTGCTGGAAGGTGGAAAGAGGAAGCGCAGCCCTGCGGACACGAGGCTGGAGGCAGCGGGGAGGAAGCCAGTTTTCAGGTGGAACCGCGGCACCAGTGGTGGCTGGCTGTGTCCCCGGGTGGAGATCCAGCCCCTGGAGGTGGCACTGCCTCAGCCAAGTGTCCCAGGGTGGTCCTTGTCAGACTCTGCTGATGGATTGCTGCGGGAAGCAGAGGCTGAGCCGCTGCACGTTGCCAGCTTGCTGTGAACATGTGTGGGCTCCCCGCACCCGTGTGTGCTGAGTTTTATAATTCTGGTGCTCTTCCAGCACAGCTGGGTCTTAAAGCTTTTGCCAAGGTGTTATGGGTTGACCCTGGCTGAACTCCAGGTGCCCACCACACTCCACAACTCCCCTCCACAACTGGACGGGGAGACAAAATATAATGAAAAGTTCATGGGGCAGATAAGGACAGGGAGAGATCACTCACCAATTACTGTCACGGGCAAAACAGACTAAACTTGGGGAAACTAAATTTATTATCAATCAAATCAAAGTAGGATAGTGAGAAAATAAAAACTAAATCTTCAAACTCCTTCCCCCCACCCCTCCCTTCTTTCTGGGCTTAACTTTACTCCCAAATTCTCTACCTCCTCTCCCCTCAGCAGCACAGGGGGACCTGGAATGGAGGCTGCAGTCTGTTCATCACATGTTGTCTCTGCCTCTCCTTCCTCCTCAGGGGTAAGACTGCTCACACTCTTCCTCTGCTCCAGCATGAGGTCCTTCCCATGGGAGACAGTCCTCCATGAACTTCTCCAATGTGGGTCCTTCCCACAGGCTACAGTTCTTCAAAAATTGCTCCAATGTGGGTCCCTTTCCATGAGGTGCAGTCCTTCAGGAACAGGTTGCTCCAGTGTGGATCCCCCATAGTGTCGCAAGTCCTACCAGCAAACCTGCTCCAACCAGGACCCTGCTCCAGCATGGGCTTAGCACAGGCTTCCCACAGGGTCACAGCCTCTCTCAGGCTGTGGCATGGACTCCTCCCTGGGCTGCAGGTGGGTCTCTGCACCCCCGTGGCCCTCCATGGGCTGCAGGGGCACAGCTGCCTCACCATGGGCTTCACCACAGGCTGCAGGGGAATCTCAGCTCTGGTGCCTGGAGCACCTCCTGCCCCTCCTTCTGCACTGACCTGGGGGTCTGCAGAGCTGTTCCTCTCACATATTCACACTCTGCTCTTTCAGCTGCTGTTGTACCACAATTTTTCCCCCTTCTTAAATATGTTATCACAGAGGCACTGTGATAATAATTTCAGTAATATTTTGTTGCTGATGATTTAATTTGTATGTTAATTTGCTTAGAGAAAGTATATTGGCTAAAAGGAATTTTCTTTCTTCATAAAGTTACTGGTATAAGATCCCACATTTTCCTAATGCTGACTTTTCTTTAACATATTTTAAACAAAGTAAAGTGTTTCCAATTGCTTCCTCCAGCTGGAGGTGTAACTCTGTGCATGATATACTTTGCTGGGGCTGTAATCTGATTAATGAAAATGTTGTCATATCCTGAAAATATCCTGTTATATCTGAAAAAGGAGCAGAGAAACCCTCTTGCTTTCAGGGGCCACGCTGCAAGAGTGGTGCTTCGTGAGCAGACTTGCCTAGGGGACACAAATAAATTACACAGAGGTGAGGGGAGAAAAGGAGGTTTTGCTGTTAAAATTGAATAAACAAAAGACAGAGAGCAGAGAGCTCCTAACAAGTGCTGCCACTCCCCTCAGAGCTCCCGCCTTCCGCCCTTCCCTTCACGCTCCTCCCTCCTCCTACCGCGCACGCGCCCTTCCCGCCCTGCCCAACGCCCGCCCGAGCGCGGGCGGATTCGAACGGCACCGTCCGCGGGATCCGCTCCCCTCGTCCTGCCGCTCCCCGGCTCCCTCTCTGGCCCCCGCGGCGCCCGGAGCGGGGGTGGCACCAGGGGAACACTTGCGCTGGGTCCCGTGCGTCGTGAGGAGAAACGGGAGTTGCTGCCGCTGCCGCCGCCGCCGCCGCCTGTGGGGGTGACCTCGATCCCCCCTCAGGGTGTCCTTGATCCTTCCCAGTATATCGGCTTCCCTCAGGTATGGAGCGTGGTAAAAGCGGCGGGTGTCTAATAGCTGATTTAGTAAAGCGCGGTAGTTTGATAATGTTGTAAGCGAAAAGAGAAGTAAAAGCTTTGTTTCCATGTGTGAGCCGCCGGAGGGAGCTGTGTGAGCGCTCGGTGCAGGGCCGCGGCGTTAAATGCGAGGGTTTTGTCACGTTTTATAACCTTTTTTAATCGATTATTGTCTATAATAGGGTTAACAATTCTATTACTATAAACTGTAGTCGATATATAATGCTCTTTTTTGTGCCTCCATACTCTGTTAACGCATTTTCTTTTATTTTTTTTTTAAACCTTTAAATATTAATCACTGATGTAATCTCCCTGAGAGAGACTTACAGAAGTCCTTTGGATAAAGCAGGTATTTCTTGTTTATTTCAGTAAATTTCCAACTCCTTGATTAATGGACACTTCAATATGATTTCTGATTTCATGAGGAATTGCAGCACTGATATCACACACTACATTGATCTCCAGAATTCAGGGAAATTTATTGTCTAATGTCACTCGCTTTGTGCTTCCTCTCCTGCCTTCAAAATTCAGTAAAATAAAAGGGAATTACAGCATTTACTGCTTCATTTAAGTTCTCTTTCCTTCTTTGGCAGATCGGGGTCCTTCTGAAAACTGCTTTTGTGCATAGTCTTAAATTACTGCTTTTGTTTTTGTTCCCTTTCAGTGTGATGGTGGAGGATATGGCATCCACAATGATGGAAGATTTCTGCTTACACATCAACATGAAGATTTCAAAAGTTCTTTCAATTAAAAAAAATAGGTAAATGAGATTAACAGTGGGGTTCCATTTGCACCCCACTTCAAGAAAAACATTGAGGGGCTGTGGAATGGAATGGAGCTGGGAAGGGTCTGGAGCAGCAGGAGCAGCTGAGGGAGCTGGGGGGGCTCAGCCTGGAGAAAAGGAGGCTCAGGGGGGACCTTCTGGCTCTGTAACTCCCTGACAGGATGGGGGAGCTGGGGGGGGTCGGGCTCTGCTGCCAGAGAACAAGGGACAGGACAAGGGGAAATGGCCTCAGATTGTGCCAGGGGGGCTTAGGTTGCCTATTGGGAACAATTGCTTCATGGAAAGGATTGTCCAGCCCTGGCACAGGCTGCTCAGGGCAGTGTTGGAGTCCCCATCCCAGGGAGGAGTTAAAAGCTGTGTGAATATTGCACTTTGGGACATGGATTAGTGGTGGCCTTGGCAGTGCTGGGGAATGTTTGGACTCCGTGGTCTTAGAGGGCTTTTCCAAATGAAATGATTCCATGAGCTCTGTTGGCTGTATGGAGTACAACAGTTTGACTTGCTGCTTCTCCTGGGTGGGAGGATATGGTGATTGGGGAGTGTAGAGTTAGTAGGTAATCACTGCTTGTGGAGGGGAGGGAAATGGGATTTTGTTTTGTTTTTTTTTGTCGGAGATTTTGTGGCTTAACATTCTCTCTTTGACAGGTGAAGAAAAATGCCTCAAACCTTATGTCCGTAAAATAGGAAAAGACATGATCCTCTTGAATGATCTCCTGGATAAAATGGAAAATGAAGTTAATCAGCAAGAAAAACTGAAGAATTTGCTACAAGTAATATTTTTTTTTCTTGTTCATAAAATACTAAAAGATTCAAAGGAATCTTTGATAAGTGTGTAGTTGGTTTTTTTCTAGATCCTCAGTGATATGTTTGGATGCACGTTCTTAGAAGAGAAACTGGGGCTTGGAACAGCCTTACTGATGGCATATTAAGCAGTTCTCCACCTAATGAACATTAATGAGCATTAAAAATTTTATTTTTCAAGGTTTATACATGGAATCATAGAATCACAGAATGGTTTGGGTTGGAAGAGACCTTAAAGCTTATCTTTTTCCAACCCCCTTGCCATGGGGCAGGGACACATTCTACTGTCCCAGGTTGCTCCAAACCCCATCCAAAACCTGGCCTTGGACACTTCCAGGGATCCAGGGGCAACCACAGCTGCTCTGGGCAACCTGTGCCAGGGCCTCACCACCCTCACAGGGAGGAATTTCTTTTTAATATTTAATCTAAACATTCCCTCCTTCAGTTTGAGGCCATTAAAAGGATGTCTTTATCACTGACCTTGAAAACATGTTTTTATGATAATAGATACCATGATCTAAAGAACAGTTCAACTTATGCATCTTTCCAATAGCTACAAAAACTGTTTAATTCGAATATTTATCTATTCTAATGTGTGTCTGCAGTGCCTTCATGTGTTAAGTCTTTGGGGAATGGGTTGTTTGGGGAATGTAGGTGAGTGTGCTGTGGTATCTCTTCATCACTACCACCATTCCCCTGCCCAGACCTTGCTAGTTGTGTATTGTTAAAGATTCGCATTTGAGGGCAAGGGCAGACACCCCTTGCTCTGTTTCTCTGAGCTTTACTAGTTTCTGTTGGGAAATGATGGGGTAAAGAGGCAAGATGACAGGGAGAGAGCTTAATAAAGCTGAAAATTAATTTTGTATTGCCCTAATTTTACTTGCTTGATGTCGGTAGGTTCAGATTTCTGATGAAGTCTCACATTAATTTCAGGAGCTCCAGCAGGCTACTGAGAGAGATCTAAATGAAGCACAGCACCTCCTTGAACACGTTCCTCCCCACCTGCCTAAGCCAGCTCAGAACTGGTATGTGGTACATGAGCATGGGGGTGTCAGGCTGCTCCTGGCAGTGTCCAGCTGCAGCATTGTGCAGCTCTACTCCTTTCACTGTACATTAACTCTGAAATTTTGGGAACCAAGGTTGTATCTATCGATTCTGGATTTTGCTCTTGTCCAGGCTCATGTTATCACCCTAAAAAATCCATCAGGTAAAGTCCATAAAATAGCAAGCTGTTCCAGTGGAAGCTTCCAGTGGCAGGTGTGATGCAGTAGAAAGCAAGGGCTTCTATGAATGTAAACACTCCTTGCTTTAAAATCACAAACACACTGATTTTATAACTGTAGTGCCTGTGGACTGAAGGTGGGTAAGTGATCCCAGTGCTAGGTCATTAGAACTGAAGTTCACCACTGTCCTTCCAAACATAATTTAAAAAAATCCTCTAACTTGATCATCTTTCTGTGAGGCTTTGAATTATAGCTGGGGGTCTTTTATTCTCCTTTCCCTGCAGCAACCTGGCATTTATTTCAGGTAGCCATGACATCCCCTGCCTTGGAGAGGGCTGTGGTAAGAAACTGTTCAGAATCAAGTAGCTCAAGTGTGAGAATGGCACACAAGTATGTGAGACAACAATTGTTATTCAGAAGGCTTCTAAGACATTGTAACTCTGAGTTTCTCAGCTCTTTCTCCGGCTTCTTGGAATTACTTTTTATTTATGAGTGATGTTAGTGTATGCCAGGTGGGGGTTTCTTCCAGAGTCTTAATATCTGGGGATCTCAGGACTTGTTTCTAGCCTTGTATCTTGTCAGAATGCAGTTTATCAGTCTGTTTGAATTCAGTGCTTCCAATATGTGCCCTCAATATCTCAACTTTATACCTTGGTCTGGTTCCTGATACCAGACAATCCTCAGGCTGAAAACATTTCAGGTGTATTTCAGCAAAGCAAAAGGTTAAGTGTGTGGAAATAGGGTTCCAGAAGAGAAAAGTTAGATGTAATTTTAGTTGACGTGTAGCAATATTCTTATTGGGGTAGGTACTGCTTTTATTGAAACTTAGATTAGTCTTAGGTGGTGGAGAGATGACTTTTGCAGGAACTTTTTCTGATTGTAGCTCTTTAGACATGAGCCCTCAGTTTAGGAAACAGTCTCTCAAAATGTGTCTAGAGGTGTCTTGTTCCTTTTCAATTTAAATGTTACTTTTTGTGTGTGTGTGAAAGAATCAAAGTCCTTCAGAAATTATCGCTGGGGTTCTGCCTTCCTTGTCATAACCTACTTTCTTAATTTAAGAAACCCTTTGTCCTACGTTTGTGTCAGCTCCTGGAAATTGTTTAGATGCAAATGAGGCTTGTTTAGTGATCATGCCACTTCTGATATCAAAAAAGTTCTTTGGGATGTTGGTTTCCCTTCCAATCTTGTCCTGCTTGTGATCAAGAAGTTAATTGTGATATGACTTTAGCTGGTCCTTCCTGTTCTGGACAGAACCACATATGTAAAACCAGCCAAGCTTTTCTGATAATTTTCTACAGATTGTGCTCTGCCAGCTCACAACTGCTGTTCTGTCAGTGTCAGTTTGTTGTTGGTTTTTCCTGGGGAATAACACATTATATGTTAATGCCATTTGTCAAAGCATGCTTTCTCCTTTTGTCCTCATCTTGTCAGTTCTTGGTGTTCGCCGTGTTGTGCAGCAGAGGGTCAAGGAAATGCAAGACAGGACATAATTGATCAGAATCTACCATATCACTGTCAATATGTTTTCAGTCCTCTTCCCCAAACCTTCCTCCACTGACCTCCTTCATTTCTGTTCCCTTATGTCTCCACATGTGTGGAGATGGGGGTACTAACGGACTGTTGAGTGACTGTGATGAGATAATGCAGAAAGCAGAGCCAGCACTTGAAGGCTGGTGAGACAGGCCTTGAAATCCCCAGGAGAATGAAAACACCCACGCAGATGAATTGAATGATTCATGGCTTTAGCTATTGTTTCTCTCCTGCATTCTTGGGGTTTTCTTTTCTTGTTTACCAGAGGAATCTCACTGAAATAAAAAGCAACTTCAATGTCTCTCAAAGCCCTTGTATCCCAGGTGTTTACTGAGAGCAGTTTCTCACTATGCCAAGGCTAGATTTTGTAAACAGGCATCAGTTCTTTCTTCTTGTCATCCAGGTCATGGTGAACTGTGTCTATACCACGTCACTGCAGCAGTACAGGGTCAAGGGATTGGGTGGAAACACAAAGCAAAAGCACCTGGGGATGAGGAACCATGTAGAACCATTGTTGCAGTAGGATGGATGCCAGGAGACTGGAGCGTGGGAGGAGTGAAGTTTCAAGATGTGAACTCTTCCCTTTGTCCTTGTTTTTATCCTTCCATTCCAAACCCACCTCCAATACCACCCAGAATCCCCCCTGCTTCCCTTTCCCTCCTCTTTGTTGACATTCCCTGCTATCTCCACGGATGCCAGGATTCGTTTTTTTGTTGTTCTGATGTAAACAGATGTTTTTCAGATGTTTACATCGGAGTAGGTTTAGCTGTTGGTGTCTGGGGTTTCAGAAGGGCTCTGCGTTGTGTCAGGCTGCTCCTGTCCCTGTCACTGGCCAGGCCATTTGAGAGTCCAGCAGGTGGCACTCCCTGTCCTCTCTGTGGCACTTGTCTTTCCTGGGATTGGGACACTGAGCTTGGGTGTGTCACATCAAGTGACACCTCAAATCCCAGCCCCGGGTCAGCAGATGGGGCACTGCTGTGCTGTTTGCTGGCTGTGGGGCCCCACATCAAAAAAGAATCTCTTATGGGAAGGTCAGATCAAAGTGGAGGATCAGTTTCTTGTGCCAGGTCAGCTCTGTACTGCTTTAGTTAATTTTGTTGCACATCCCAATAACGTCCATATGCTCCAACAGCCAAATGTATCCTCTTTGCTGTCCTCATGTCAAGGAGCCTCTAGGTGGGTGGCTGGGAAATCACTCTGGATTTGAGGCTCTAAGATGAGCCTTTAGAGGAAAAATAATGCTCTAATAACCACTCAGAGCAGGAAATTCTTTGACTTTGGGGATCTTGCTAAAAAAAAGAAAATATTAAAAAATTCACAGTCTGCTGGATGTTGTTGAATTTCTTTACTTCAAAAGACTAATGGATGAGTCAGGCTTTCCAAGATTTGAACTTGTTTCAAAGAGCTCTGAAGTATTTCGAATCTGCAACTCTGTGCTGTGGTTCATCTGATAAAAAGCCAGGCCTCATGTTCTGTGAAACATAATGGTACATTGAATTCTGAGCTGCACTGTGCTGTGTTTGGACTGCTTCCAACTCACCTGCTAGCAGTCTTTGTAGCAGAGAAACCAAGAGCTGTAATGCAGTCACCTGAAGGATGCAGTTTGAAATGGGAGTAGGCTTGCTTTATTTCTGTTTTGTGGAATATAATTAATTGTGTTCATCCAGCTTAACAGATGGATTAGGATTTACATCTGTGAGTAAGCAAACTCGATAATGTAATGGAATTCTCCTTACTACTTATCTGCTATTTATACACTTAATATTCATTCATTTCACAGCGTCACCGTGCCAACTGTGAAACACGAAGAACAAACAAAAGTGGCAGAACCTGAACCTGCTAAGAAACCTGCAAAAGAGAAAAGAGTCATTAAAGAAATACCATTAATAATGGCAGAAGAATTTGAAGCTGTTCCTGCGTAAGTAAGCGTGGCTTTCCTTACACCCTGTCATGTCAATTTGGGTGGCAAACACAGGTTTAGGAAAGTGACCTCTTGCAGAACTGAGACTGACAGAGATGGCTTGAAACTTTAAATATTCTGCAGGGTGAAACATCATGATAGTAGCTCCAAATAGTTGAAATGTAGCACTGGCAAACCTGAAAATGAAATTAATAGAGTCCTCTATTTTATTGGGAAGATCGGAGCTAATCAGTTAAAACCCAAACCTCTTATTGCAAAAGTCACTGTAATTGTATTAACAGAAATTTATTAGCTAACAGGTGAATTCTCTTCTTGTTTTGAGAACTTACAAAAAAAAAAAAGCCATGATCTCATAAGATTAAGATTTGTTTACAACTAGAAGGAAAAATAATCATAAATGCTGGTTTTATTTGACCCAGTTATTGGTTTCTGGAACTTCAATTCTTGATTTATCAATCTGTTTTCAGATAGCAAAGGAAATCAAACTTGTTTCAAGGAAAAAACACTTTGCACTGAAATTCCCAAATTTCTTCAATAGAAAGCTATGGGTATTTTTCCCTAACATCGGGACCTGATTAATGGTTATCCTTGTCTGAAGTCTGTCATGTAGGAATAACTTTTTTTAAATGACTTTTTGGGGGCAAGGATAAATATTTCTGCAAAAAAAGGAGAAATTTCTCTTGATGCCTAAGGCTAAACTGTTATTGAGGCTCTAGATTCAGTGTGTTCCCTGACAATACCCGTTTCAGTATGAAATATGTTTTTGAGTGTATTTTACTTGAGGCTTTCCAATAATTTTTCCTGCAGCTTTCAAAATTTTCAGGTGAGTTGTGTCCATTTTCTTTCTTATCCTGAATGTTGAGCTAATGATAAAGGACTTCTGGTTACCTCTTAAAAGAGCATGCACCTGGTACTTTTATTCTGCAGATCACCTCTAGTATTTTTTGTATTTACTCCCTTAGGTAGTTCTCTCCTGATAAAATTGTGGAAGAGTAAACCTGGGGCATGGGAGTCTTTGGCGTTTATCTCTGCTCCGGCAAGAGAAGTAGACACAGACCATTCCAAGTAGATATTATTTTAACTTCCAGTTAAAGCTATGGTCTTCCACATCACAGGACAGGTAGTTGTGGCACTTGGGGGATGTGGGTTAGTGGTGGCCTTGGCAGTGCTGGGGGAAGGGTTGGACTTGATGATCTCTGAGGGCTTTTCCAACCTACAGGATTCTGTGATCATCCTTGAAAATAGAAGGTTTTCCACTGCTATTCATGGACACAGAGGATGGGGACAGAGGCCAGATGGATCCTTTTCCTATTCATTGCAGGCTTATAGAGAGGTTACATCTTAGACTGTGCTGGTGGAGCTCTAGAAATAATTTTATTCAGCTGGGAAAAGCATGTTTGTTCTGTGGAGGAAGATTTACATGAATTTACATAGATCTATTAATCTACCAGTATTACTGTTGCCTGGCAATGTTGTAGTACAAGATTGAGGGAGTACTTGTGATTTCACATACTGTTTGATCAAATCTAAGCAGCAAATATTTGTGACCCAAATTTTCTTACACCAAACATATTTCCTTGGATGAACAAGGATTGGGTTCAGATCCCAGTTCTCCAGGTCAGCACTGGTTCTGACCTAGGATCATGGTTAGACTCGATGATCTTAAAGGTTCTTTCCAACCCAAACAATTGTGTGATTCTATTCTGTGGTCAGAGACTTGCAAATTATTTTACCCTTCAAATCTGATCCAGAAAGGCATTTTTTTGAAGAAGAGAAAGGAACTTTCTTGGTATCCATCTCAGTTAACATTGAGTTCAAGGCAAAGGAAGAAGCTTTCTTTATTCTGTGTCTAAAATTCTTACTGTTTTCTAAAATGTTTACTGCTAAAAATATTTTAGAATCTGCACATTCATTATAACTCTCGAGTTTCAGAAGATGATAACTTGAGGGAATATGTTTCTTTTAGTCTAAGCATTTTTTTAGGGAACAGGTGGTGACCATTAAGAGGTTTATCTCTTTTAGTGTGGTATATATGTGATACACTGATGCTCTTCTTTTCTCTGAGGAGCACATCACTGTGCTTTGGTTTTCATACCTATGGAAAAAAATGTTTCGAAAAAGGGCTTCTGTGGATTAAAAAAAGAAATTGGGTCACTTGTTTTGGTTTTTTTTTAAAGGAAGATTTCTGAATTTTGCAGCTTTTGGAATAGTGAAGCAGATTTTAAAGTTATTTTAAATCTAAATTAAATGGCTGGATTTGGAACTTCTTAACTTTGTATTTTTATATTAGTGTATGTACGGACTGAAATAAATGTTAGCATTTACAGGTTTTCCAGCCATGGTTGGGTAGAAACATGAGAGGGCTGTGATAAGCTGGAGTTTTTATGATCCTTAGTTATGCACAGAATAAAAATTCCGCTTGGTTTTGACAGAGTTTAATTTCAGACTAAAGCATCTTGGATGCCCAAGGGCCTCTCAGGGCCCTTGTTTCTTAGGTTTAGGCAACCCAATCCTGCTTGTCCGTTTCAGCCTCAGGATGGGTTGAGGTGCTCCCTTGACTTTATTGTGTTCACTGAGTGTCTATTGATAGTGGGAGCACAGGAATTTAAATTCAGGTATTTTATACCTCTGGGCTTAGCCTTCATAGCTCTGCACGTTCCCCTGTGTCTAAGGGAGGCATTTGGAGCAATAAAATAGCAGTTAATGCATACAAGCAAAGCCTTCCTGTGGTTGTAGACTGTGTTTTTTATGCTGTGGCTGCATCTCAGGGGTGGTAGTGCTGCTTTTATTTCTGTGCAAAGTAGATCATTTTTATAATTACGAAACGGCTGCACATCCAACTTTGGATTAATCGAAGAAGTATCAATAAAGTTGAAAACTGGCTGTGAGTAACTTCATGGCAACTAAGTTTCAAACTCAGTCTGAAATAAGAGCAATTACTTTGAATTTGGGAGGTTTTACACACCTTGTGCGGACCTGGCAGCAGGGACTGGCTGTTATTAAAATCTACAGCACTTACTTTTAGTTGGCAGTGGTAAAAAAAAAATCCTGCCCACATTCTGGTTTGGAATATTGAACTTGTAGTTGATTAGCCACTTCTGCTTTAAATTCTCTGTATATTTTCCAAAGACGTTTGGTTTGCTGTAGCAACTGAATGATGGTCACAGGATAATTCAGGTTGACCTGGCTTTTACTGCCATGTTTTTTGGGGGTTTGTGTTGTTATTTCAGTTTCAGATTTCATTTTTATATAATGGCTTCTCAGTTTGCAGCACTGTTCCTTTTCCTTAAAGGCATGCCTTTACATCTATAAATACTGAATAGCCTTACTTGCAAATTATCCCAGTGTTCTAGTTTTTCCACATCACTTTGGTTTTATCTTCTGTGCTTCCTGTACCTCTAGGCTGTTATCAACAGATCTTATTCTTCTAGTACTGGTTTTATGAAATGCTCATTCTTCTCTAAGCCAGTCCTGCTCTCCTTCCTTGCCTTGTCTCCTCAACCATGGATGCTGCTGGCAGAAATTGTCAGGAATCCACCTTCTCACTTTGCTCTGTGGGATTTGGTGGCCTCATTTGTAGGACCAAGCATTACAAACCTAACTCGTGGTCAAGGATGCCACGCTGAGAGTGAATCTTCCACCGGCATTGTTCAGTTACCGTTACCAGTGGTATGCATTGTTTAATTTGGGTCCTTATCTGAGCACACAGGATGTGCATTTTCTGTGATTCTGGGTTTTTCTGAGTGTTTGGACACGTTTCCTGGTAATGGTTCGCTAGGGCTTTGAGGTGCTTGTGCCCAGAAGTGGGGAAGAAATGGGAAACAGGGAGAAGGTGAGAAATTTCAATATCTCTGTGACTCCCTTCCTCCACATCCCGTGCAGATGCTGCTGCAGGGGCTCTTCCCCATGTGTAGCCACATCTGTGTTTCTCCCATCTGCACTTCAGATTTGCTCCCTTGCATGTTGTTTTTTAGCCTGATAATAACTTATTTTTTATTGACCTTGGGAAGCTCACCTGGAAACAGAACACAGGAGAGATGCTCTGCAAAATGTTATCAGAAGCATAAGAAAACAGCAGAACAGCCTTTTGCTCAAAACTGGAAGCACGCAGTGCAGAGGTAGGGGAGATACAATTCTGCGGTCCTTTGTAAAGCCAACTTTTGGACCAGATCAAGCTTAAAATGCAGGTTTTGGAAGGCTTTGCTCAGCTCACCATTGCCATGAGCTGTTTTGATGCTGGTTTCAATATCTCCCTTCATCTGCCTTCAGCTGGGATGTTTTCATCCAGTCAAAAGCTGAGGTTAAGGCTTCCCAGCAGTGCAGGGAGAAGCCAAGTTGCCTTGCATGAAGGATGGGGAACCCACGCAGGGAATTCTTCTCTTGGTGGCTGGGGAAGATAATTCCTATTTTTTCCACCTCTGCAAAACACCACTTTGAGACACAAAGAGCGCAGAGGGAGGTCACAAAGATGGCTCAAGCAGCACTTCTTATACTTTGCTTTCCCCTGGCTTTATCTCCAATCATCTAACCCTGGTGGGGGTGATACAAAAGATCTACCAAGTGTTTTTTCACCCCAAAAGCAGAGAGGAAAGGGTCTGAAACTGTGGCTCCTCTCTGCACCCACATCTGGGGGATGATGCCTGGGAGGGGCCCTGGGTGGCAGTGGCAGTGCTGGCTGCAGGGGAGGTTCTTACAAAGATGGTGAATCCTAATTATTCCTATTGTCTGACCTCAGATGCAGGCAAGCGAATTTTCAGTGACCACAAAAAGGGTGCTTAGAAGTCTCCTGCTGAACCACTTCATTTCAATCCACCATTGCATCAAACTTTTTCCAGGTCCAGCCACTTAAGGGTCTTTCTTGCTTGTTGTGATCACCAAATCCTCCATGCTCTGACCCACAAGCATGTCCTGGGCTTCCAGGCCCTCAGTTCCTCCGGATTTTTGGCTCCTCATTTGCCTACAGCAGCCATCAGAAATCTGGCTTGTATTTCAAGGAATCTTTATTCTCTAAAGCCTTAATTAATTTTCTTTAGTCTTGCTGGGCCTAATATCACTTGAATGGCTTGCTTACATGAACTAGTGTGATTAACAGCAGCACCCAGACACAAAGCTCCTCAGCTTGTTCATCTTTTCCATGGGAGCATTTACAGCCTTTTATAGTCCTTTGCTGAGGCCAGACTTTAATTTGAGATGGTGGCAGAAACAATGCACACGTAGACAATACACAAATAACTCATGGGGTTCCTCGGATGACGGGATAAAATTTCCCTGGTTGAAAACATCAAATTACAGGTTAATCTGCTTCACACAGAGGTCTCTGAATTCCTGCAGTGCCTTCCTCCCCCTCCTCATGCCTTGTCATTGATACTGTGGCCTTTAGTGACAGCGATGCTGAGGTTTGGGAATTGCTCTACTGGGGAGCCTCATGAATCCTCCTTGGAGCCACCAAGACTGCCCAGAGCAGGTTTTGCCTCTGGCCTGGCAGAGATCGAGCATCATCTGCTGCTGCTGCCCTGCCCAGGCTCCACTTGCTGTGAAAGGACCGGCTCCAGCAGAAACTCTGGCAGCTGGAGTCTCCTCGAGACCAAAGGCTCTGGTTGGCACCTGTGGCCCAGCTGGTTATTCTGGTTTTGTTCTTCAGCTGGATATGTCTTGCAAGCCTGGGAGGACTGGAGAGGTTAAACCAGCAGCTGAAAAGCCTTCAGGGCTCTGAGGCATGTCCATGTGAGCTGGGGCTGCTGCTTCCTTCAACTCACGCAGAAACAGCCCTGGCTGACCCAGACCCTTTTCCAGGGATGAACCATGTCCCAGTGAGATCAAACA